CACCATTACTTAAATTATCCTTTATTGAGTTCTCGGAAAACCAAAGTGTGGTTAACTTTCTGGCATTAATCGCCCCAGCAGCAGGGAGAAGCCAGACCACAGGAGCCCTGGCAGCGCCAGGCGAGTTCGGGGCCCCTCACCCTGAGCTGTGGCTGAGTGGTTGAAGTGGGTTGATCATTCACCCGGGTCCATTTGATCCCCAGCCACGAGGGCAGGCAAAGCAACATTGAGTCAGCACGGGCTGTCAGGAAGGGAGTTGTGGGGAATATTAACCCCTCTGTTGCCTTCAGATTAAGGGTGAATTTGAGCCTCTGGTGAATTTGCATGCAGCAAGAGTGGAGATGAGAGATGTTCTGGGGCTGGAGAAGGCCAGGCACTGGATGACTCCCATGCTATCCCTACCATTGTAGCCGTGGGAAATGCTGCCTTCTCTTAGCCGGTTTTGGTAGCCAAGTCATTTCTTCTTAGCTATTGTCTCTGCTTTGATTCTTGCCCTGTTTTCCATGGAGGAAAAACAAAAAAAACCCCCACCTAAACTTGTTCACTCACTGTTACTGTCTCCTAGCGTTGCTGCTGGATCTCGTGCTGGTGGCGGTGGTGAAAGGGCTTGTCAAGCGACGGCGGCCCACCCACAACAAGATGGACATGTTCGTCACCATCTCAGTGGACAAGTACTCCTTTCCATCGGGCCATGCCACCAGAGCTGCCCTGGTCTGCCGCTTCGTTCTGCATCACCTGGTGCTCGCCGTCCCACTGCGGGTCCTCGTGGTGCTCTGGGCTCTCATTGTCGGCGTTTCAAGGGTCATGCTGGGCAGGCACAATGTGACAGACGTGCTCTTCGGTTTGCTGCTGGGCTATGCGCTGTACAGCGTGGTGGAGTACTGCTGGCTGTCCCCTCTCAGCGCGCCTGCCCTCTTTGCACTCTGGAGCCATTGATGGCTGGGTCCCTCCTAAAGGAGGAGACATGCACCTGGTTTTCTAAGCATGCACAGGGAGGGGATACTGGGACTTGAACTCACATCCTAGACCCCACCTATACAGCCAAAACTTCAACACTAGTGGTGCTGCAGGCTCCTGGGCCCACACTTGGATGTTTCGTGCTGTCTTGCCCTCGAGATGGACTTTCAGGCAGGGTGGCCTTACTGGCCAAGCAGCTGCACTGACTGTTCTCCCGTGAAAAACCAGTCCCTGCAGAGCCCGCAGAGGGCTCAGCACATTCATCCGGCAGCTCACTGCTGATACTGTGAATCGACATGCCCTTGCTGGGCACCTGTTGCGTTAGCCCATGTTGTATGTGGTAGCTGTGGCTTTGCAGAGATTTGTCTGCGATTGCCCGTGTATCTGTATGCTGTAAATACACTGATCATGTTGTTGTTGTGAGCGTGCTCTGCGCAGCCTGCTCCTAATGTCTGTCTGGAGGGGACTCACTGCGGTCTGTCCTTGGGTTTATAAAGAGTTCTGCCTTCCGAAGCAGCATGTCTCTTCCCTGTTGCTCTTCATTTAAGCACTGCACTGTTGCCAGATCTCAACCAACAAGGACACAAGCACCTGATTCTCAGTGCCATGGGGAAAGTATGCTGCTACTGAGGATTTAGTCCATTCACGCTATCTCCAAGAGAGTGGGTAACCAGGGAAACAGCTCCCAGCATCAGCCTGCTCCAGAAGCCCTTGTGCAGAGCTTCACAGCTATTTTTCCCTCTCCACAGAATTTTCAGTCTCCTGGGGGGGTACAGCATGTTCACAGCAATTCCTGTTTCTCAGACCATTACCAGTGCTGCTGACAGTATACTGCTGAGCAACCCCCTTCCCTGTAGCCCTGGCTAGCAGTACACCCTCACCCAGGCTGCCGGGCAGCCCTCGGAGCTGAGCCTTACTTGTACTGCTTGCAGCAAGAGGCCCTGGCTCTGCCAACCTCCACCCCAGCTCCCTGCGCTCTGGGCAGACTGGCTGTCCTACCCTGGCACTGTTGTTGGTCCTGCTGCCTTTTTTCCCAGAGGACTGCTTGTCCTTGGCAGGAGAGGACTGTGATAAGCCTCTGTAATGAGATGGGGCTGAGACTGAGCCAGAAGAGCACAGGATCCACATCAAGAGGGACCACAGCCAGGCAGGGGGTAAAAGCTCTGGGCTGAGCTTAAATAGTGCTCCTGGCATGTAGATAGGGGTCATTGGGTCCAGGTGAGGCTCATCGGGGCCATTAAGGTCTATTAGTGCACTCAGAGCCTTGGAAAGCATGGATAAAGTTCTGTTAAAACCAGGTAGTGCCCAAGTGTGCTGTTCCTCTGGGCAAAGTGTGCAGGAACAGCCTGAGGGCTGCTGTTACAAGCACCCCATCTCTGTCTGTCATCCACTGTCAGTTATACAGGGACTGAAATAAAAGCATTTAACATGACAAGATTCCCCCAGAGCTGAGCCCTGACCCACCCACACAGCGAGCTGGTGAAGCTATCAGCTGTGGGTCTGCACTCCAGTCATCAAAAAAAAAAAAAATCCCCTGGGTTGTACCACATGCCTGGCAGCCAGCTGGGCCAGTCTGGCATCTGCAACAGTAGCACCCGGCCACCCTGGTCCGCCCTCTTGCCCCAGGGCAGAGACGAGCACTGCGGTGGCTTCGGGATCACGGGCAGGCAGCACGCTCCAGTGTGGTCAGGGTTTAGGGTGATCAGTGCTTGTTGAGCTGTGCCAAAACATCTTAGCTCTACTTTTTGCCAAACACGGGGTGCTTTTCATCCAAGCTGTTCTTACAGCCATTGGTGTCTTCCTCTCCAGGCCACAGAGGAGTATGGCAACAACTCTGTGCGTCTGTGGCTTGTTCCCACATGCATGTGCCTGCCAAAAGTTGCTCCTGGCTCACTTGCAGGCCCCTCCACAAGCTGCTTGGTGGCACCCACCATCACCAGTGCACAGCCCCACTGGGTGATGGGCTGCCCTGCCACCCTCTCACCGCTGCTTTGCTTCTCCCCACCTCCACCACCTAGACCTTTGGTCTCCTTTTGTGCTTGTCACTTGTCACTGCTCCCCTAAGCATGGATGTCAGCTGCATGGATGCTTTCTGCTCGCCTTGTCCCACAGCACTTCTGCCCATCGCGAAAGCCCAGAGCAGATGTGTCTGTGTGCACTGCCCACCATGCTGTCCGTCCTAGGTGCTTGCTGGGCACAGAGGACCGTGGCTTTCCTGCAGATATCAACAAGCTGATCTTGACCGAAATGCCATGGCTTGACCCTGGCGCACTCCCACTGTCCCCTGTGCCTGACAGTGCAGTTTGGCCGGGCCACGAGCCCAAGCATAGTGGGGGCAAAGTCCAGGGCTGTGCAGCCTCTCGTAGCTGCCAAGGCAGAAGGGCAAATTTGAAGGCAAGCTGCACAGAGGTTTCATAGCACAGCAGTAGGGTTGAGAGCTGGGAGAAGTCCCCTGTACCTGTCACTCTTGGGCAGTCCCTGCAGAGCTTGCAGAAGAGCCAGAAGCCAGCTGAGAGCGGAGCAAGGAGAGTAGCATTGCCAGTGCTGCCTCCTCGCCATCCCGTGTCGATCCCTCTGCTTGGTAAGAGATCCTTTCAATGCTTTTTGACAGGCAGGCACCGAGCGTGGGTTGGCAGCTTGGCGCCTCTGCCCTGGGCAGAGATCAGCCCTTGCCAACAGCAAGGGACAGAAAGACCTTTATCACACTTACTGCAAACATACTATGAGTTTTAGAAGGGTAAAACCATTTCGGCTGCAGAGCTTGGCCCCTGCACAGCCCTGCGTGCCTTGCTCAGCTCTGGGGTGAAGCTTCCTGAACACAGGAGAGCAAATTTCCCCCGTAGCCCCCAGGGGCTGTCCGGCTGCGAGTGTGCCTAGAGCCAGCAGTGCTCTCCTGAGCCATCTGGTCTGTGCCTCCTGCTGCTGGGGAGAACCTTTTCCTAACCCATCCCACGACCACTGACACCAGAGACACCCCAGCAGCACAGTGCTCCTCACACCGGGGTCGTGCGGGCCCTGGGACTCCAATGGCTCAGGAGCGAGCCATGGCTGTGGTGATGCGGTGCTGACATGCCCAGCCTAGGGGCATGGGGAACGTGGGCGATGCGGTGCCCGGTGCCACCGGAGCATGTGCCCCTGGGTATCAGCATAAACAGGGTTGGGCTGATCCTGATAATCCCAGAGGTAAAAGTTCAGGGCAGTGTTTGTTTACCTGACGCGCACACCACAGGGACGGGCTGTGTCTCTGCCTTTCCTGCAATCCCATGTCCCCACAATGTCCCCACACGGGGGTTCCAGCGAGGTGCCTGTGATGGCTCCTTACCCCGCCATCCAAGGCTGCAGCGAGAGCCGCTGCCGGAAAAGCCGACCAGGCGGCCAGGAGCCAGCTGTGTGCCGGCGT